TTGGCCGATTTTCGCGGGATTCGCGCGACAATTGCTCGTCGACCCGTAATAATTTTCAATCAACGGGTCGCGCCAAAAAGTCACGCAGCTTTCATCGAAGGCGTCGCTCTCGCGCCGCTTCCCCCCCCCGACAAACCGTACTCGCTATTCGGCGCGACTTGACACACCGAATTTATCGTGCACAATTTATTCTCCTTGATAACGTTCTCGATTTATTATTTAGGAAGGCTGGCCGAGGCAAACATTAAATTGTGCTCGTTGTTTTATGCGAACCGCATTATAAATTTCAAAGAGTTAAATTCAACGGCATTATCCAAACGCTGCCGGCATCGATACGCGCGTGATTAACGGGCAAGGTATTATTGAAATTTTCGTCCGATATGCATATTGTGCGGTCGGTAATTAATAAAGCCGCGTAAATTGGAAGAGAGCTGTAGAGGCGGATTCCCTTCCTTCGAATCGGTCGTTAAAGAAACGAGATAATATGTATGTATCTCGCGGTTTCCTCGTCCTCTACCGTACAACGATTTCGAGAAACTCCGCGGCCCGTTCACCAGCTAATTGCGATCGTCGGCGAAACGCTTAATTACTCCTCGTCCTTTCTTCCCATCTTTCACCTTCCGCTCTTTTTCGTCCAAGGCTGCCGTGAAAGCGTCGTTCTCCCGGGAAAAGGACAACCGGCGGGACAAGGATCCCATAGGACGAGGAGTGGTTGTAAAAGTTGTGACCAAGGCACTGGTGTACGTCGATTTTGATTTCGTTGGTAAGCGGCGAAGAGGCGCGATCGTAAAACGTTTTACGTTCGGAGAGTGGCTCCGAGTAACGCTCGTTACACGCCACGCGACCAGTAAAAAGAGATCCACTCGTAAAATATTTGACGAACCTGAAGGATTACGCGGACCGCGTTTCCTCCCCTGTCACCCGACAATTCGTTGAAATTTGTCTCGATCGAACCCTTGTTCCGCCGGTAATTCCTTTCTGAATACACGGCGCGGCGGCGATAATCCGCGGCTAATAACCGAGCAGGGTGGTTTCTGCGCGGTTTAAAATGCCGGTTCTCGTTGATGGGGTTAACACGGTTGCCCCGAAACTGTATACATACGCTCGCGTTCAACCACCCCCCAAAGAGTTTTCTCGGGCGGAAGTGTCGACAGGAGCGGTGTATTGGATGGAAGAGCCGCAGGCTGCGCTATCGGTGGCGACGAGACAAAGCCGGAAACGAGCGTGGAAAAGGCTGCCCGAACGAATGGAAAACGTAGGGAAAAGCCAATAATAGAGTCTTCCCTTGCCGTGGCCGCCACGATGGCAGCAATAATCGACGTCCCGGTACACGCCGGTGATCCGAGGTCGAGGAAAATTGGATTCGAAATCGAATTTATTCGATTTTATTCGATTTTATTCGATTTTATTCGATTTTATTCGATTTTATTCGATTTTATTTGCCGGAGACGATGAAAATCTAAATTCACCGCTAGAAACTCCTCTATCCCTCTATATCTCCACTTCCAGTTTCGAGAGTATCGATCCTCGACGCGTGATTTTTCGCTCGCCTCGAAGACGGACTGGAATTTTTCGGTTCCGCGAACCTTCTTGCGTTCGTCTAACCGTTACGGTCGACGCGCGACCGTTTCAAAGGCGTCAACGAGGGGACTTTGGCGACATATTTAGCGGCGCCTCGACGAGCCCTCGGGATTCAAATATTCTCCGTTTGCCACGGCACCTAACCTATTTTTCCTCGGCAACGATTTCGGTGACCGATATCATCGCCCGTGTCGAAGAAAGGGACGAGAGACCCTATACCGGCTCCCGAAACTGGCGAAAAGGGCAACGGCCCGGCATCGGGGAACTCTGGAAAGTTCTAGCCGAAACGAGAGGAAAAAGATGAAACAAGTCGATCAAAACGCCACCAACAAGGTGTGAGGGAAAAAGCGAGTATCGCCGAAAATACGCTGCTAAGCGGCTTTGCGCGTGGCCGCGTTCGTCCGCGGATAAAATCCCAGCTGCTTCCGCTCGCTCGGAATCTTCTTTCGCGGCAACTTTTCCGAGCGGGCTGGAGCGTAAAGTCGAAATCGCGCGTAAAACATTCTCGGGCTCGACTGTACACGCGAAAAGGAGGAGACCGACCAGGTTGGTTCGAGGAAACGCGTAATCGCGGATAGGAAGAAGGGACACGGCGATACTTGGGTATCGCGAAAGGCATAAAGGCATAAAGGCAACCTGACGCCGCGCGTTCCATTACAGCGACGTCTACGGCGTAGCTATCAGCGGTAACGGGCCAGCTGACGCGGCAATGCAAACACCATCCCCCGCGTCTTCTACCCTCGCCCCTCCACTCCGTACGTCTCCGGGTGATCGCTATTTGCATTTTACACCGCGCCGCGTTATTGGTCAGCTGTCGCTGCCTTCTTCCCGTCCACCCCTGATTGCCGCGGTATATTCGGTTTGCGAGGGAGAGAAATTCGACGGCTACGAAAGATCAAAGCCCTCCCTCTTGGCTCCGCTCGCGACCTTTATATCCCACCCACTCGCTTATTCTCTATTTTCCCGTTCTTCGCTTTCCCTGTTCGTGCCAGAAGCAACATTATTCATGCTTAACGAACACCGCTTCTCTCACCGAACCAACCTCTTCACCCTACCCTCTTTATAATTATTACATCTTTTTGCAACGTTTTCCGCTCGAACAAGCCAAGGTCCGCGTCGAAAGCAGGAACCCGTTACTGCCGATTTATCGATTTTCACAGAACGCGTGGCGTAGCGTAGTAGCGAATATTACCGAATATTACCGTATATTAGCGTATATTAGCGTATATTAGCGAGTTTTCGTTTAAAACTCCTTCTCCATGAACATTTGTCGGTCCTCGTAACTTTTATTTACCGGAGAGTGCAAGCGAAAAGCTTGCGGCAGATTGAACGACCGTTAATAATATTATCGGGCGTGCAAGTCCGTAACACCGACTCGGTAATGGGCTTTCGCTAGCTTAAATCACGTTTCCAGTTATTCCTACCGCGGAGGAGAGTTTAAAGCGTAGGTATTCAAAGTCCCTGGTATTTTTCGGCGGATCGCGATAAGTACACCGGTTTCGTCTTAGGCGAGCCAGAAGGAGGAGATGTCCACGCGAAGGACTTTGAGGCGTAATGAAAGGGGTCCGCAGGTGCGATCCTCATTAGGTTCGTTTCATCCGCGTATCCAGTTTCCACCACGCCCGGATATTTCTATCGTGTGCATTTACCGAAAGTTTTCCCGGGCCTTTCAACGGCCGCCCTCCGCCCGGGCTTTCGAACGCGTCTACTGCTCGCCTCGGCCGCGCTCGATACGGTACGGCAGACAGCGCGGGTTCTCTCTGCGAAACATTTATCACGGTAAATCACACGGTGACAGCAGAGACGAAAGGCTACACGCGCGGCGGTGGAAAACCAGGGGGACGAATGGTAAGCGAGTTAGCAATCTGGCCGCAGCCTTTGAAAACTGCAGGGAGAAAAAAAGGAGAGCGAGAACCATTCGACTCTCGTGCTCCTTCGTTGAGAGATATCGCCGGTGAATTTACGATCGAGCCGCAGCAGGAGGCTACGGGAGGAATTAAGTAATTTCGTTCCGACAGCCGGCAGTTTGGAATTTTCTCTAAGAGTAATCGGCCGCGCGACGGAAGCGAAGACCTATCGAGAGCAGCGGGCGATCCTGGTCGAGTTTCGAGAAAGGAGAAAAAACCGCGTACGAGGCTCGAGGGTACCGTTTCGGCCACTGCTCGACTCGCGCAGCGTGCAATCACGCCTCTATTGTACCGGACCAATTTGCCGGGGAAAACACGGCTGCTTACGCGAACGGCTTACGGCTAGACAGATCGCCGCTCTTTTTCCTCTTCGAGTTACTCGATGAAAAGGTAGAAAATGGGCGAAAGAGTCGATTACTCGATAAACAAGATTCTGGTGACCGCCGTTTTATTTCGTTCTCGTTCAACTCTTGGTCCGTCCAAGCAACGTCGAAGCAACGTCGAAAGGTTAAGCCAATTACACGGACGCTCGATTACCTGCCTCGCTCCCGAAGGGTTTGATCGATAATCCTGGCGTACGCGTACAAACCCAGAGGCGAAGCTTTCGTCGTTTTGGATACCCGTCACGTCACGCGTCTTCCACCACTTTTCCCCGCTCACCGTTCCTCAACGTCCCGGAAATCTTCCTCTCGAGAGTTTCGCGCTCGCGTCGCGGTCCTCGTTGCGCATAGTTGGAAAGAGCTCAGTTGACCCCCGTTTAATTGCCCTCGCGCACTTGCGCCAACGGCTTACCCCGTTTAGAGGGACGGAACGCGTTTTGCCCATGTTTCCGGTAAGCTCCGCCGCGACGCGACGCGACGCGACGCGACGGCGATGGCGACCCATGTGTGTTTTAACGCCACAGGGCTATTAGCTTTGACGTTGATGCCGCGCAAAGGCAAGACCGAGCCCAACTAAATTAGCAGCTCGATCGTAAAGTACCTCGCAGTGTAAACAGCTTACGTTTCACAAAGCCTAGACCTTTTCTACGATCTGTGCTCGTTGACCGAACAAACGACCGACCGACTAGACATTGACCACGCTCCGAACGATTCTTCTCTCGTACCAGTCGAATAGGGCCGACCAGCCGCGGAAATTGTATTAGCCCCGTCCTGGACACAGCGGTAATGCCTTTGCATACCGAATGAACTTACTGTTAGTACTGTGCGAACCGGGATGTGTTCCCCGCGTCACCCGCTACCTTTGAACCCTTTTCTCCTCCTACGATCCTGCCGCTCCTTCTCCCTGTTTTATCGCACACGACCGGCCATCGATCCCCACGACCTTGACACCGGCGTAGGGACGACCTTCGCTTTCTTTTCGATCGAAAGGAGGTCGGTTTCGTGTCGATCCGGAGGAAAGTGGATACGTTCGGCCTATCTCCCGATTACCTAGCGCCGGTACTCGTCGCTTCCTTTTTCCCTTTTTCTGCTCGAATTTACTCGAGACGACCGTCATTTTTTCTGTTCGCAGGCGAGGGACAGGCCGACGAATGTCCAGACGACAGCGTTCGAGGGGAGAACGGCGACTGCAAATGCGCAGCCGACTGTCCATCGGTCGAATGCCCAGCGGGTCAACGTCCGCTCCAGGTGAAGTCAGCGGATCCTGAATTGCCCGGTAGCTGCTGCGCCCGTTACGTTTGTGTTCTCTCAGGTAACAACGGATCGCGCTTATTCTCGCTGCCGAGAAACCTGATTCTTCTCTTTTCCTCCGATAGATTCGCGAGGATTCGAGCCGTGCCCCGAAAACACCGTTCTAACGGAAGATGGAAAATGCGAGTGCGCGCCTTGTCCACCGGCGAGCTGCCAACCGGAATATCGTCCCGTTCAAGTAAAGGCTGCTCGTGAACGCGAGCCGTCCGCCAGCTGCTGTCCTTTGTACGAGTGCAGACCAACAGGTAACTACGACAGGAGACTCGCCAATAGGCCGAAAATATTTCGCTAATGCTCGAGGCTCCTCTTCTTCAGAATCTGTCACCTTGGTGAAAGTGGACCCGGAGATAACGAAGGCGGCCAACTACTGCATCTACGAGGACAAGGCGAGAAAGTTGGGCGAGCGATGGCAGCAGTCGGATTGCGTCAACTGCGTCTGTCAAGAAGACGGAGTGTCCTGTCAGGAACCGATGTGCAAGTCCTGCGAGAACGCCATTCCCCCCGATCCCGGCGAATGTTGCCCCCACTGTCCCCCGCCTACTCCGGAGCCACCCTGCCGCAGCCGCAGCCGCACTCCCGAAGGGTGTACGTTGACGTGCGAGCACGGTTACGCCACCGACGAGAACAACTGCCCGACGTGCAGTTGCGCCGAGACTATGGTAAGCAGGGAGAAGAAGACGAGAACGGACTCGAGATGACACGCGACGATCCCGTTTTCAGCGAAACGAGACGACAGAGGACCGAACGAATAACGACCTGGACGAGCTGGTGGACGACGTGTGCCCGGACCTAGCGGACTGCCAGTTGAACTGCGAACTCGTTAAAGACGAGGGAGGCTGCTCGGTCTGCGCTTGCCACCGCGAGCCTCCGCCGCGAGCCTTCGATCACCAGCCCAGGAACGACACCGTGCCGGTCGACGAGAAGAAGATCTGTCCGGAGGTGACGTGCGACCTGCACTGCGAACAAGGGCTGCTGATGGACGAGAACGACTGCACGTTCTGCAAGTGCAGGGAACCGGACACGAGCTGCCCGTCTCTGGTCGGGTGCAAGAAGCGATGCGCCTTCGGTTACAAGAAGAACAAACGCGGCTGTTCCGTAAGTAAACCTCGATCTTTTCGGTGGATACTTAACGATATCCTCGAAACGTTGGATACGGCCGTAGATATGTCGCTGCCGCGCTTCCTGCACGGACCACTTTAACGGGACGCATCCGGAAGGGTCGACTTGGCATCCGAACACGTGCAGCTCGTGCACCTGCGAGGCCGGAGGAAAGCTGAGCTGCAAGGAGACGGTGTGCTCGGTAGCCTGCAACGATCCGTTGCCACCGAACCCGGGAACCTGCTGCCCGATCTGTCCAATTACGGTAAGTCGGCCAAGAGTCGTCCGCTTACTCGCTGTATCGCAAGACCAGACAATTTAGACAGTTTACTTTCAGACTACGAAAGGGAACGAAACGAGCGGAGGAGGTCATCAAGGAGGGAAGAGCTGGGGCACCGTGCCGATCACCTTGATCGTCATACTCGCGCTCCTCTGCCTGCTGCTCATCGTCCACATCGTCCGCGGTCGGTTCCGCGCCCGCCTCTCACCCTCCGAGGCCTCCTACACCTCCTATCCGCCGCAGTACTACAAATGCGTCCCGGTCTACGACACGCCGGTCCATCGAAACGAGAAAATCGTACCCTTGTAAAACACTTGCGAAAGACCTCTCGCGTCAGTCGCGTCAGTCGCGTCCAGTGAAACGTGTAGTCTCCGTCGGCGAGTCCGAACCTAACGTTTCACCGGCTGAAAATACCATATTGTAGATTCAGTATTATTTGTAAGTAGCGGACGGTTTTACGGTCGAAAGATAGAACGAACCACGGCTGCCCCGTGATACCCCTTTCCCGAGGCTCCCCCTCTTCCACACCCACACACCCTAATGCGATGTCGTAATCTGCGTTGTAATCTGTAAATTATAATATAAAGGCTAGCGTAATTATCGCGAAGAGGTAAATATGGTAACTCTGATAGAAGAGAGTCTTAGCCGTAGTATTATGTATGTTCCCCCGATCGCTGGACCAGCTCTGCTCTTCTCTATTCAGCTTCCACACACTCTCTCGGAGCGTCGTTTGTCACGGAACCCCGTTTAATTTACCATTGACGAGGAACCCACATTTCCTCCCTTCCTCTATTTATCATATCGTTTACCCTGCTTTCGGTATTTATTCCGTGAAATTTCTCTCCTCGAGCAGACGATCCAAATAGGCCCCGAGTCTTGTCTAGAACTTTTGATACGTACACCGTTCCATTTCTAGGTATTAGAGAGTGTCTCGATGTCGCGTGCGATGTATCGTGCAGCAACGATAACGATTCTTTACCAACCACGGCGGGAGAAAGAGGATAGAGAGGCGTCCTGCGTGTGTACATGTACAAATCGTTTATCGTTGTAGCGCGAGGTAACCGAAATAAAACATATCCCTGTGCTTTGGACGAAAACGCGAGTGCGCGCAAACACTCCTCTTATCATTCCTTCTCTCCTAAACTAACGCGTACATATATTTTTCCAATGTGACACTCTGGTCTTATTGTACATCGTCTCTAACCGTTTATCGTCTAGCAGTACAGAAAGAAATTGTTCGCGTACGCGTTGTTTAACACCACGCCGGTAGCACACGCCTACCGCATATAGAATGATCGTCGACGAATTCGCAGACTGTATTTCGTACGTGTACATGTACGTTGGAGACAATATGTATCGACGGCAGGTTCGTACGATGTTCCCGCGACGCGCGAGCCACCCGGTCGTTTCTCGTTGTTTGCCGAGCACGCACCGTCCAAGTGCAACAACGGCAGGTTTCGGAACAAATCGTTTTCGACTACCTTTCCGTCCTTGGTTACATATCGACGAGGCGTGGCGGATTCGCCGAGTAATGGAAAACGAGTCGAAAACGAGTGTGCTGTGATCGTGGAAAGAATCGTGGAAGAATCGCGAACAAATAAGTAAAAGGCCACCGAGAAACGAATAGTAGTCTCGTGCTTGCGCGACACCTTTTTCTGTATATACAGTTTCACCGTAACCGAATATCATATCAGTGTAACCTAGACTTATTTAATATGCGCCAACTCGTGTATGCATATTAAAATCGTGCGTCATGTTTAAAAACGATAGCTCTTGTATGTTAAATAAAACGAGACTAAATAAAATTGTTGATATGTGATATATTGTATACGGGAGGTACGCTGGCTAATAAGTAATTTACTTCTTCACCACAAACTTGCACACGTTCGTGGTATCTTAAAATCACCAGTCGTTTATTTGCTTCCTTGGAAACTCGTACAACTTGGCGTCTCGTAGTAGTTGCGAAACGAAACGACAAACAAAAATACCAACTGGCAGTTGAGAGCAAGATTGTACAAAGACCGTTCCCAAGTTTCGTAACCTTGCAAATCGTGCCAAGTTTATTTGTCGGTAATTAACGGGTCTTTTCGCCTCGACACAATTTATACGAAACTCCTGGTAGGCATGCGGTATATTTCGCATACCTTATTGCAGCAGGTAGGTACGTAAGTACTTATGCACGTCGATCCGTTTACATATTTGCGCAGTAAAAGGTTAGACGCGTCGTAGAAGCGTCTGTCGCGAACCATCCGCGTTATCCATATTTCGCGTACAATTCCAAGATCGTTGTTGTCGTTGCCGAACAGTTGACACCGTTAAACGACCGAATTTATATTTACATTTGAACGAAACGAACGTAAACATAGCGAGAACCAAAGTACACGCGAAACGACGCAAATCTTCCAACAGATGGCGTTGCCGCTAGAACCGCGACGTTGCAGGTAAAGAGGTGTATTTTATCGTCAGTCCGTAAATGTCTTTTCGTTTCGATTCGGAGTACCTCGTTTCTTTTCCGATCGTTCTCGTCAGTTTCGCGAATCGCCAACGAGAGAGAACCACCGTGCAGGAACTGGTAAGTCTTTGAAATTGACGACCGTTGTCGGAATACCTACTTACGACGTCCCCACGTAGATTTCGAAATCGTAGAATCGAAATGGCGTTTCCTATTGCTGCACTACCGTTTCTGTTATTCGACATCCACGATTATTCCGTCAACTTTTCGCACGGTCACTGTACGAATTTGCCAACATTACGAATAGTGTACATCCTTTGTTTTGATACGCTTTTTTCTACGTCGGACAAAGTATAATTCGAGTAACAGGTTTTACACGTGGTACCGCGTGTATCGTAGTCGGTACATTGTCGTAACGTAATAATATATTTGACGTCACTCGAACCCCAAACGACAAAATGAACAAACACGACAGCTTTCGTCCTGAGACATTTTTCGAGCCACTTTGATTTATCTCGCACAACATTTAGTAGATATATCGGGCACGTCGAAATTCGTAAATCGTTGGGATGAGAGTGGCGGGAAAAAGTTGACGGAGTAGCAACGGCTCGTTACCTGCGGTCGGTAATCTAGCACCCTAGAGATAATATTGCACAAACGTTCATCTATCGCGATGGCGTCGCGTACCAGGCGGTCCATTCGAAATGACAATCTATTCGAGTAACGATCAATCATCTCGCTACGTCGTACGTGTCGCGTACACGTACGTGCAACGAAGAGAGAGGTACGAGAAAACTTGGTACGTGCAACACTAAAAAACCAAGATGAGTTTCACAGACTGATGATTTATTTCTATACATCTAACGCGTCTCGCATAATTGTACAATAAGTCCTTGTGAAAGCGGTAGATGGTTTACTTTAGAGATCCTTCGTTTCGTCTTTTCGGATGCGAGATCGAACCGTCGAAAACGCACTCCGCCTAGACGTGCGTGCGATTCTGCGGTCAAAAATATATTTTACACCAGAAGTTCAACACTCTCTCGTCGACCTATATACACACACACACACACACACTCGTACATACATACGCAACAGGCATACACGCGTAGACGAACCCGCTCGCCTCAAACCTGGAACCTGGAATTTGCTGGCGTGCAAATGTGTTCTCGGAGTAGCCTAAGAACGTAACCGGTCCGAATAAAATTGAGAGTCGAAGAGGATGCGGCGGTGGCGACATATCGATTTATACGTTCGTTAAGGGGGCTCGTTTACGCGGTCGTAACTCGCGCATAGAAGGAGGAGGGAGCAGCTGACGGCTCCATCGCGCTCGCCTAGCGAACACCTTTACAGAGGGTGCGCGCATAAACCAGTTCTCCCTTTCGAGGGAAGACTCCTCCCATAATTTTTACGAACGAGCTTGCTCTTCCATTGGCCAGCCCACCCCGTTCGATTTCGATTCCTTCCGATCCGTAGCAATTGATCGGCAATTGTAAAATTGTTCGTAAAAGAGGGGGTTGGTCAGCTGGGGAGAAGTCAAACGAAGGCGTGAACACGCGAGAAAACGTCGTCGGTTTGAGTCGGATGAACCGCTTCTCCGTCGTTTCGATCGATCTCGTAGTCGATTGGTCACGTGGAGTGTTGAGGTGGCGGTAGCGCGATCTCATACCCGGTCGGCATGGTTTGCTGATGGTGTTGGTAGTGGTGGGTAGTGGACATCATCTGATGATGCGTCTGCTGGTAATACTGATGGTGCATGCTCGAATGGCTGGAATAGTAGACGGAGCTCTGCTCCGTGTCTTTACCTGAAAA